ATTCCTTCGTGCCGTTTCTCGTCGTTTTAGATTCCAAGAGATTCCGTCCCATTTTTCAGCAGAGTATTAGAATATGGAGAAAAAGTCACAATTGGTTCGAAGACAGGGCTGCAACTTTTCCAACGTCGTTTTATATTTAGCAGAGATTAGAATCCGAAGAAAAATCAATCGATTCGAAGACAGGACTGCGAACAAGTGCGAACTGTTCCAACGTTATAATGATAGGACGTATCCTCGTCTGCTGCTCGAGTCACAAAACGGTGCGGTCGCGAAATGCGCGGTATTTATATGATCCGTCAACCGGCGAACCCCACCACTCGCATGCTAGCCAATGAGCGCGATGCCTCATCGCTGCGGATGCTGATTGGTCCGCGCTAGCTTCCGAATATGGTATATAAATGCTACACTCAAAAAGTTTCACTTTTTCTCGGAATTTGGAGCCGTGCATTTCATGAAGATGGAGAATCCTGTACCCATTCGGCAAGCACTTTTATGATGTTAGCATGTATTTATTACATAGTTTACGTTACGTATACTGTAGAATTTCAAACATAAAAGAGTGTTTTGAATACGGACTTATAAATTATATTTTTTCCAAAAATTAAAGAGCAATTAGAATAAATAAATAAAGGCTATCGAAAAAATTATATGAAAGAAAAATTGAACTTATAAAATAAGCAATTATAAATTGTAAATCATTTAAATCACATCGCGCAAGTATAGAAATATACTTATTACTTAAAGTTCTATAATCAAGTTTTAAATCAAAATATTAATATAGCAATACTACTCCACTGAGTTTTATTTTATTGTTAGCTATTAAATAGATTATGACAATATTACGCTCACTTGTGTATAAAATGAAAACATTAGGTTTTTTGTATAATATATACAGCATTGGAAAATGGATTTAACGAAATTATATCGACGGCAGAGAGAAACCTGAGAGAGGATATACTGTTGGGTAATTAACACTTCTTCAGAGGCGGTAATGCGCGGCGGCATTTTGCAGTTACAGATTGTAGACCGTCATGTCCTCTTTCAGGTTTCTCTCTGCTTGTATCTAAACAGACATTGACTCATTAATATCGCTGATCATGCGTAACCATGATTTATTCCAAATCTTTTAACCACCAAAATATTTTGAACAAAACCTTTTACCTGTAGCTTTAATTGCGCTAATTAATGTAACTAATGCCTGAGATTCCTTTTTAAATTTTTATAAATTAAATTAATTTTACATACTACGTGATAAAAATAAATTTGCTTACCGAACTGTCGATGCATTATCAGCTTTAAGTTGCACGCAATCTCAACTTCATTGCAGTTACTCACTCATGTGATCAAAAAACATAATTAATTATAGATATAATATAAATACATCGGAAAGTATTGCATGACACAATGATCGTTCAGTACTTTGATACTCGCGATGTTTATTCGCACGTGCAATTTATTAGTTCAAGCGATTAAAAAGACACAAGATAATATAATTTCGATCAGAAATAGTCGCAACGCGACACAAAATAAGGATGATGAAGCATGCTTCAATCTGCTAATTTTATATAATTATGAGTTCAATGAATAAAATTTTTAAAACACAATCTCTTATCTCTCTGTAATGCAAAAACAACTAAAGTATCTTTTGCATTGTGTAATAATTATTTGAATACATATTAAATAAGTTCTATCTACTAAACAAAGTATTAATTCAAAGTTTTAATACTTATTGTTAAATAGTACTATAATTATTATAAATCAATACTGTTCAAGGTATTCGTATAAATATGAATATTATATTCAAGATTTAACTATTATTATGATATTTATATATTTTTTATTTTTATGTAACAACAAAATAGTAGAAATTGACATTAAAAAATCGTCATACAAGAAATATAAAGTGTAACTTTTGAACTGAAACTAAGCAAACATATTTTTCAAAATATATTTTTATAAAATCAAATAATAAAATCAAATATTAATAATACGAGGAAGAACTCTGGATATAAAAAGGCGCAAATATATGTATTAGGCACGTTTTAACGTATTCGAAACAGTTATATTGGTTTAGTACCTGTATTTTTTTCAATATTAATAATAATAAAAATAATAATAAAGTACAATAAAACGCAGAATTAATTATCTACAATACTTGTTCGCGCGTATAGAGAATCACAAAATATACATAAAACAGACACAATGAAACGTCGGAGCGTACATACGGCCCCGTTACTTCATTTTGACATAATCGCCGAGCAATTCCCTTGTTTTCGCCGTTAACGAACCGGAAGCAATCAAGAGCGGGGGGGCAGGATGCGCGTGTGCGTATGTATGTATGTATGAGTGAACTGATCATATTTATTTGTGTACTTGCGTACGACTATACGTGAAGCTACGCCTTTTCTTCCTGACGATCGAATATATAATATTTATATATATCTATATATATAATATATACATATACATTCAATACGCGAGAAAGTTACACGAATCCCGCATTCTGCTTAGAAAAGTACGATGAACACATCAGGTTCTCGTGATCGCGTGGACTTCCTTCCAAGACATGTGGATCAAGGATCGGATCTTTCAGATATATACTTCTCTGTACTGCTTTAACAATATTCATCGAGATTCTCACTATCGCAAAATATTGTCCGAAATAACAATAGTGGCAAGCCTACAACACTATATCTTCTACAGTTTACTGCAGTACAACTTACCGCCTATGATTATCGCGAACACTATTTTTCGGCCATTTAAATATAACGATGTATAACATCAATGCAGCACAGTTTATCGCAGAATACCCAAATATTTAAGGATCAAGCTCTTGTCTGTGACAGAAGCGAATCCTTCTCATCTTAATATCGATTCTGGCACTCGCATACTGAATAGCCTCGCTCTCGCTTCCATCTTCCTGACAATATTTACATAAATCTATTATAACTAGTCACATTCAGGCAACTCCTTAAACGCGGTACGCCGACTGATCCATCGGAACAACCTGTTTCTCATCACAAACTGATGTTACACGTAATCGGATTTCAGAATCCTTCGTATCTATGGACATCTCCTTTTGCTTAATCTTGATTACATGCGATTTTAATAAAATAAATCTTAAATCTGTAGAATGTTAAAGAACCACAAGATTTTTAAGACTTTAAAAACTCTAGTATTGCAAAAAATTTCAATTTCGTAAATTTTGGCACATCTGAATATATTCATCCAACTTTATAAAATCTTTTCGCTTAAAAAAATTAAAAATTAGTACAATACTAAAAATCTTTATTTTATTAAAATTAAACATTAGACTTTGCACAAATTTCAGATACTACAAATATATGGTGCCTTGGAAGAAGAGGCATAACTTTAAAAAAGCCTCGATTTCATAAAATTGTATATATATGAATGTTCAATTATAAAATCCTAATTATATGTATATAAATCTTTTGCCAAATTTTATCCTGTACTATGTGCTTTCATAATTTCTGTAATTCTTCTCTCGATGCCAATGTATTTCAGAATCTTGCCGATTTTTACGATCTCGATTACGAGTAAACGTCGAGATTTTGTTCGACTCGCACGAGTATGAAACTCTAGCAGCGATCAGTCTCGTGTTCTCTTAGCGTGATAGTGAGCCGTGTCCGTGTAACAGTCGGCCGCCTTTTACTACGTCGAGTCAAGTATGTATACAAAAGAACGATAAAACTTCGGTGCGGCGACGATTACAACAGTTATGATTAATTTGCAAGTGACGAGTAGGCGGAGCGCAATTATTATTATTAAGATAGTTACTTCTCTTTTTCTCAACGAGGTCATTAAATGTTTCTTTCGTGCACATCTACACGGAAAAAGGATACATCTCGAATAGTCACGTGAGTGCATTAAGGACATTTCACTATCGACTCTTCACGAAAAGACGTCGCGCTTTAATCCTTAAGCAGCTACATTAATGTAATTCTGTAGCGAGCTTGAGAACTTACATATAAATTTTTATACAGACAGAAGACTCGTCTCAAGATTTTTAATCAGAATATTGCACTATTTTCGTCAACCAATGTGCTAATAGCTGACTAAAAATCTGACATTTCCCAATTACGAGTTTAAATAATTATTTTTTCAACAATTATCCAATAACGCAATATTTCTGTTTCGATTCTTGCTCCTGCTAAAGGATTAAAAATGACAAATGCATATAATCGAGTATGTATATAATCAGACATAACACTATCATACAGATAGCCTAAATTCAACCCTTATTTCTGGATTCGTGAGTTTCCTGCCGTAGATAGACTTAGCGGCCACAGTGGCCCTTCATATAAGACCTAATTTAAAATAATAAAAAAGAGAATTATTTATTTACACAATAAAATATAGTGTACAGTCTGCAAGATACAGTATTTCTAATTAAAACTTTTGAGATTAATAATGTAATAGTTATTGATATCAGTAGTAATTTCGACGAATTAAACACAAAAAGATGTAGATCCTGATATAATCTTCCGCATATAGAATTTCTTCTCGCGGTAACAATAGAGCCGCGGTTAAAAATTCATCATTAATAATTATCAACAGCCATTAATATCAACTTATAACTTTTAAAAAATATAATAACGCGAGTAAGACTGTACGACCGCCGCGAGCCTTCATAAAAAAAAAATCATATTTTTTAGGTCATGAAAATAATGATTTAAACGTAAATGTAAATAATACATTCGCTATTAATAATACGCTATTAAAATCTGTTAAATACCTTTTTAACAGATAATTGCAAGAGTAATTATTACATAACAAAGTATTATCTTAAATAAATCCGAATAAGGGCAAAATATATCTCTTAGGGGTCTATAATAAGCCCAAAAATGAGCTCGAT